ATTCGTATACGGTGCTCTTCCACAAAGGTCTGTACAACACGCCCGATGTGCTGTCGTACGTTGTCGTGCATGTATAGCAGACCTGGGAGCCGCCGAACGTAGGGAAGCACAACGGACCGTAGCACCTCATCTACGTATCGTTGACCCGTCATGGTCTGCTATACACGCAGCAGACGTGTACGTCCACCATGTGTAATCGCACCCCATACCATAATGCTCGGTTGTCGGTGGATAGGGCGTTCTTGCACACACTGCTTGAGTAGACGATCATCACGGCTCCGACGAACTAAAATTCGCGCATCACCGGTGCTCAATTCGAATCTTGAAAACAAAATGTCCCTCTACTCGGCAACTCACTTATGCCTAGCGGAGACCCACTCGTGACGTATGCTGCGGTGCTCGGGTGTTACTGGAATCCGCTGTATCGCACGACGCGCGCGCCAGTCCACTATCTACCAAACGCCGCCGTACAGTTCGCGTAGTGAGTGCGCCTTCCCCTGCCGGTGGCCAAACAGCTCCAAGTTGCCTTGATGAGGACACACACGACGCTAAAGCGCTGAGCACAAGAGCGCGATGCTCGTGTGCTGGGGACACGCAGGGTGGTCCCGGCCGCGGCTGAAGGTACCTATGTCCTACCTCAAACCATTCTCGCCATGCTCGTTGCACTGCCGATAACGACCGATCGAGACGAAGGGCAATTTCACAGAACGATACACCCTCAATGTGCATACCCACAAACATTCCTCGCTCAAACTCGCTTAAGTAACGCGATCGCCCANCTATGATTTTTTGAACAAATGTCCGCTGGAGCAAATTTTTCTAGAAAAATTCGAATAACTCGAGAATTGCTGGTTCAAATTGCAAAAAGTAAAGTTATTTATAAACCTTCCAAACAGACAAATCCAAATATGTAAAAATATACAGGGTGTTCCATTTAACCCTTTGTGTCCCAAGAAGTCGAAAATTTTGAAACTTTGCGACAGAAGGCCTTTGGAATCAATTTTAGTAAAATATGCAATCCCCCCATTCCAGGGGGATAATGGTACTTGAGAATACCGTCAAGCATTAAAATATATTTTCAGTATACAAAAACTATTATTGCTAATATAAAAATAATATATTTTTTATTACGTTAGAAAATAAGTAACACTTGCTTTATCTAAATCACATTATGACATTTAGAAAAAACAGTTCTTTCTTTCATTACAACATAAATAAACATTGCACGCAGTACATTTTGAGTGGGGTCTAGCTTTGGCAGAACAATTTTCACAACTTCGTCTTTCTTTTGAACTTGCGCTACGACATTTTCGTAAATTTGAATATTTATTTATCACAGTCTGTATTTACAGAACGACGAAAATCTGATAGAATATTGAGAAAAAAACATATTGAGCAAAAACTAACATTTTCGCGTAATCTAATCGTAAGTGTCAAAAAGGATGCAAATTAAAAAATTCCTGGAAGCTGTATTTATTGAAATTAAGGAATGAGACTTGTTCTAAATTAAAGCTCAAAGCTTTCTCTTTAAAATGATGTATAATAATTGTTGGGTTGGATTGGAAAAATATTGAGAAAAAAAATGTTGAAACAAAACTTACATTTTCGTATAACCTAAAAGTGTCAAAAAAGATGCTAATTTAAAAATTCCTGGAAGCCGTATTTATTGAAATTAAGGAATGAGTCTTATTCTAAAATAAAGCTCAAAGCTTTCTCTTTACAATGATGTATAATAATTGTTGGGTTGGATTGGAAAAATATTGAAAAAAAAAATGTTGAATGAGGCTTATTTTAAATTAAAGCTCAATTCTTTCTTTTTAAAATGATCTGTAATAATCACACCTAATAACCATTTATCAAAGACATACCTTTTTGAACAACAAAATTCAACAAGACCACTTTTCACTAAACTTCTAACCCCACATCTGGACGAATTACTTTAAATATACCTAAAAACCCTACAGTGCGGATTGTGTCATTTTTTATACAGATTCTTTCTTGTATAGTAGAAAGTACTACAGATTAAAATGAGTGTTTAAAACTACCGGTACTTTAAAGTACCGTCGGGACACAAAGGGTTAAAAAAATAAAGTAGGTGGCGACTTCCGGTATAGCCGGAAGTGCTAGAAATCTGAAAATATTTTAGATGAAGAGAACGTAATTGATAATACTTAAGTCTGAATTCTCAAATTTTTTGTTTGCACAGAACCCCAGACACGTCTAATGACCGGTCTCGCTGAGACACCCTGTATTTTTGTTCAGTTCACTTTAATTAATATAAATTAAATATTTTTCTTTTTAGAGATAAACACATTGATACCATATCAAAACTAAATTTTATTTTAAGCCATACCGTTCTTAATACATTAAATTCAACAGGAAATTTTTCAATGACAAATACTTGGGGGTATAAAAATGTAACAACCGGGATTTACTCCGGAATGGTTGGCGAATTACAAGCAAAAAGAGCTGATTTGGGAGGTAAAATATCTACTTTGATACATAACTTTATATTTAGACATCTTTTAGGTACCGCAGTATTTTTTACAATCGATAGAACGGAAGTAATGGAATACATTGCACCAACAACTCCAACGAGGGCCGTTTTTATGTTTAAAGCCCCGCCACTATCTTATGTCCACAACGTTTTAACTTTGCCATTTTCAAAAATCGTATGGTTGGCAAGTTTTTTATTGGTGGTGTTAATCTGCATTTTGATTTACATAATTGCAAGGTGGGAGTGGAGCGATGAAGAATTTAAAAAAAATTTGGAAGGAAAACACAACGTTTTAGAACCTGATTTTATGGAGTGCGTCGTTCTTAGTTTAGGTGCCGTTTGTCAACAAGGAAGTGAAGTTGAACCAAGAAGCGCTGCCGGAAGAATAGCGGCATTTATAGTTTTTTTAATTCTTATGTTTTTATACACATCTTATTCCGCAAATATCGTAGCTTTACTTCAATCCACAAGCGATAGTATTAATACAGTTGAGGATTTACTTAATTCAAGGATTCAATTAGGTGTTGAATTAACACCTTACAGCAAATATTATTTTGAAGTAAATTTGAATTATTAATTATGCATCAGTATTAGAATTATTTTTTTTTTAGACTGCTAATGATGATGTAAGAAAAGCAATTTATCAGCAGAAAATCGCACCAAAAGGAACCACATCGAATTTTATGGATCTTTACACTGGTATTAAAAAAATGAGAGAGGAATTTTTTGCTTTTCACGTTGAGGCATCCATAGGATATAAAGTTGTGTCTGAAACATTTCAGGAAAATGAAAAATGCGGTTTGAGAGGAATTGAATTTCTCCAAGTTATCGATCCTTGGGTTGCTGTTGCTAAAAATAGCAGTTATAAAGAACTTTTTAAGTTTGGGTAAGATTACCGAAAAAATTATGAAATGTATAACTAGAACAATTTTTTTTTTGGTTGATTTATTTTAGATTTAGGAAATTGCATGAAACCGGCGTTCAAAATCGGGAATTTAGAAACGTTTACGTTCGAAAACCAGTTTGTCAACGAGCAGAAAGCAATTTTATGAGCGTTGGTTTAATCGATTGTTATTATTCCTTTTTAATATTTGGAATTGGTATTGGAACTGCTTTAATTGTATTAATCGTTGAAAATGTCGTTCACAAAAAATGTATCAAAAACTCACAATTATAACACTTTACTCTACATTGTACCGTTCATATATCGTGACAATGCAAATCTAAATCGATAAAGAGATTGTTGCTTACTTTTTGCAATAAATATTTATGTAACCACAGTTTTTCTACATTGATTAATTTCACTCCTTTTTATAGATGTTTTTATTTAAGAATCTAAGAAATACGCTTGAGGTTAATTTTCAATTTCATAATAAAATTATCTTGTTTATTACCAATTATAAATCTCGTGATTCATACCTAGAAGTTTTATATTCGCTGTATTTTTAAGAATCATGATATACAGGGTGTCCCGTTAAGGTTTACATACGTAAGCAAACGTAAGTTATTGCGGCAAGGAATAATATGACAATATTTCCCAAGATCGAATATAAAATGTATGCAATTATTTTGTAATCTCTGGAGTTTATTACACAAAGATATCGACAGGCCAGTACAAACCGTATCCGCATAATCAAGATGTGGAAAAATCAGCGGATAACAGAGGTTGCGTCGAACGTAAGGTGGAAGAAAACACTTAAATTTACGGAGGGAGTGGAAACAAGAGTAAACCCTCTTACAAATCGCCTGAACCTGGGGGCGCCAAGACAGTGCAGAGTCCATCATAACTCCAAGATTCTTAATTACATCCGAAAATTTAATGACGGTGTCACCAAGTAGAAGTTGCGAGTTAGCAAAAGTAGCCACCCTGCTCCGTAGAGGATTTGTACCAAATATTATGGCTTGGGTCTTATTAGCATTGAGCTTCAAACCGTATAGTTTAGACCACTCANTGAGCAAACGTTTTGGAAACAAGTTTTATGAATCTTCATGGAACATGAAGAGCATGAAACAAAAGGTGTTTCATTCAAATATCCCGAACAAATAAAACACAACTCTTGTTGAACATTAGAGAATTGGTTTTCATCTTGATTTTCTCCAACTTTTCCCTTATATTCGTCATTTCTTAACTTTTCCAAATCTTCTTCACTAAAAACTTTTTTAAGAATTGCCTGTGGAATGTTAGTTGAATTTAGTCCTACCTTTGGTTCCGTTCCAAAAAGGGCGGTATATGGACTGCGCCCTATGATCCTGTGCTTTGACGACTGAACGAAGCGGCATCCTATCACCCAATCTGTATTCTTATTGTCATCCATCCACGAACGTAACATATTTTCAACATCCTAGTTGCAGCGCTCTACGCTTCCCTGTGATTGCGGATGTCGAGGTCTTCCATGTACTAGTTTACAATCAGCCCACATACCAGAAAGTTCTTTAACCACATCAGCTGTAAATTCACGTCCGTTGTCGCTTTGTAGAATGTGCGGTGCGCCGAAATCCAAAAATATCTTCAGCAGTTCCATTGCAACTTCAGCAGCACGCTTTGTTGTTAAAGGTCGCAGAAGACAAAATTTAGTTGCATGATCTTGATAATTCATTAACCATTTATATCCTCGACATGGAGTTGATTGAAAGTCGATCAAATCAACTTGACTGCGAAGGTTAAAATCTTTTGTTGTGATTGGTCTTACCACAATATTACGTTGTTGTTGAGATTTCTTCGTATTATACATTTTACAAAGCGATACAAACATTTCAACTGCTGGTCTGGGAATGTAAAATTTATTTTTTAATTCAAACAGCATTTTATCTCTTCCTCCATGTCCAGTGCATGGAGTGCACGGTGACATTGAAGAAGTCTGTCAAAGTATTCTTCAACCGGAATCATTACTACTACAGGATCCTCATTACTTCTTCTTTTTTTGATTAAAATTCTTGTTTCGCCAATCTCCATTGTGCCGTATTTTCTGGTTAATCCATATTGTCTACTAGTCTTCTTTTTTTCAGGGTTATTTGCATCCAAAATTTCGCGAATTGCTTCTTCCAAAGTTGCTTTTGTCCAAGGATTCTTTACGACATTTTCACTCTTATTGCAGTATCTTTCATTTGCGCATTAAAGTTTATTCTCATGTTATTTTCGTCTACAATTATTGCAGACATCATTAAGGCTATAAGGAGGGAAAACATTAAAAACTATTGTAAATTTAAATTTTATAATCTTTATAATTTAACCGCACTAACTTTTTTGGTTACCTAATATATTAGTAAATCATAGGAAACAGTTGTGTAACGGTTAAAACCAATAAAATACGGCGTTTTGTTTCAATAAACTAGTGTACTATACCTAACAACTGTGTTTGAAATTAACAGCTAGACACCCCTTTAATCGATAAACTTTCTACATTTCTACCTACGTTTCACGCTCTTCTACTTTTGTTTACCTTATTAGTTGTTTGTCCTTGACTGCACTGCAACAATAGTTAAACTAACCTATAAGAAAACCAAGAACAATATGCGATGCTACTGCGGCGCACACGTTTCAACAAGTATAATGCGTTAATCACAACAACCCCACCCTAGCTTATTCTTAATACGCCGTCGACTGTAAGGCTAATTGCAAAAAGCCTCAATAAAACCAGGCTTTTTAAAGAAACAGTTGTCCACTTT